GGACCCGCCTCCGCCCCCCTGGGCCCTCCGAGTTCGTATTCCGAGTCCTTCGTGCCCCTTCCCGCTCCGCCAACGACTCTATCCGCTTCTTCAACTGGGCTCGCTCGAACCCTAGTTACACTCCGACCTCCATGGAATTCGAAGAGTTCGCCAAAACACTAGCTTCGCATCAGAAGTACGAGTCGATGTGGAAGACTCTGAAGCAGATGAAGGATCTCTCTCTGGCCATCTCTGGCGAGACTCTCTGCTTCATCATCGAGCAGTACGGCAAACACGGGCATGTCGATCAGGCCGTGGAGCTCTTCAACCGCGTACCAAAAACCCTAGGCTGCGAGCAGACCGTTGAGGTCTACAATGCGTTACTCCACGCACTTTGCGACGTCAAGATGTTTCACGGAGCATACGCATTGATTCGCCGGATGGTAAGGAAGGGCGTGAAGCCGGATAAGCGGACATACGCCATTCTGGTGAATGGATGGTGTTCGGCTGGGAAAATGAGAGAGGCTCAGGAGTTTCTTGACGAAATGAGTCGCAAGGGATTTAATCCGCCGGCTCGTGGACGTGATTTGCTCATCGAAGGATTGTTAAACGCAGGATACTTGGAATCTGCAAAAGAAATGGTGAAGAAGATGACCAAAGGAGGGTTCGTGCCCGACATTGAGACATTCAATTCACTGATCGAAGCTGTATCGAATTCCGGGGAAGTCGAGTTCTGCATTGAGATGTATTACACTGCCTGCAAGTTAGGGCTTTGCATGGATATAAACACTTACAAGATACTCATTCCCGCAGCTTCGAAGATTGGAAATATTGAAGAAGCCTTCCGGTTGCTGAACAATTGCGTGGAAGATGGGCATAAGCCATTTCCAAGCTTGTACGCACCGATAATCAAGGGGATGTGCAGGAAGGGAATGTTTGATGACGCGTTTAGCTTCTTCAGCGACATGAAGGTGAAGGCTCACCCACCGAACCGGCCAGTTTACACGATGGTTATAACGATGTGCGGTCGCGGAGGGAGGTACGTGGATGCAGCCAATTACCTGGTGGAGATGACTGAGGTGGGTCTGGTTCCGATTTCACGCTGCTTTGATATGGTGACTGATGGGTTGAAAACCGTAGGCAAGTACGATCTGGCTAAGCGCATAGAACAGTTGGAGGTTCGGCTTAGAGGGGTTTGAGAATGTGAAATTGTGAGAGATATATAGCCTCTTTCCCCTTCAGCTTGTGAGATGCTACTGCTGTTTTGTGTGCATGGTTCCAGCCAATGGCTGGGCAGAACCAGCTGGGAACCAGCTGGGTTCATTGAGTTCAGTTCAGTTCTGCTTCATAGGCATTGATACGGCCACTGTAAGTCTGTAACATATCTGGGGACTCTTCAGTTCTGCTTCATTGCTGTTTAGAATGGAACTGCCAGAAGCATAATCAAATATAATACCGTTTGGAAACCGCATATCTTGTCGTACGGCTCACACGGTAAGAAAAATCATTATGGTCAACTTGCCACCGAGTTCTGACGTATGATTTCTTGACAGAGACATTGTCACATATTATTTCTTGACAGAGACATTGTCACATATATTAAACAAGAAATTCCACCTTCTGTATCTATATAGGACCGAGCTATCCATCTTCAGACAAGGCATATCTGAGGGTGATGGCTCTCGGCTGCATCATTTTGATTGCTACTGAATCATTCATCAGTCAGCAGAGCAAACAAAATCACAGGGCTCAGAACAAGAGACTTTGGTGAAATACATCAAATCTTCCCTCGGACTGACATAGAGAGCCCTTGAAGACTTTATGGATCAGAGGATAAGGGTACCGGGGGATTTCACCAGCTCCCCCAGTTAAAATACATAGCCATAGCACACATAATAGCGGCTTCTGTCTATATCGTACACAACTCCATTGTTTCTTTTACCTCTTTATCGATTTCAATCTTTTTTGCCTACTAAATCTCTCAGGTTTTATGTACAATGCCGTTCCATTTCCCCCCTCTCCTTTGTCTCTAGCTATCAGATGGGTATTCCAAGTCATTTTCTGTTACCTTGAAGTGCTGCGGCTGCTGCCCCGAGCAGTGGAGGTTCCACATTCTAAAGTATGCTCTCTCGAGGTTCTTCACCTGAATCCAAAACGGAAGAGATACAAGAATGTAGTTAGAAAGGATTTAACAACCGAAAGAGGGAAATACCCATACCCAGATAGTGCCTTTGTAACTAACCCAGCGCATGGTGTCAAACAGAGGACAAGTTAACCGGTTAGTCCTCAGCTTCTCAGTAAGTGCCTGAAGCTTCGGCTTGTTCATTGCTAATGATACGGCCTTTTCTTCGTATTCCTCCAAGCTGTTTCACAAATGAAAAACAGATTTAATTGATCATCCAATTCCATTCTTCAACCATAGCAATAAGAAATCTGAAGATGACTATGCTGATACTCAACCTGTTAACAATCATCTCATGGCCCAGGCCGGTTGCAAGGCAGAGCGATCCAGCGACTCGAGTGGCCATTTTCTCGAGCGGAAGTGTTATCATCGGCACACCAGCCCAAAGCACATCCGTACCCGTTGTGTGCCCATTGCACAGAGGCCTAAACGACATGCGGTGCGACGAGGTGATTTCTTGACATTCTTATATGTGTGCGTACTTGAAAAGAAAGACAGGAGAAAAAAATAACTCACGTGTCGAGGATAACATCAGCTAGGACACTACGCCTGATATGCTCATTTTTCATGGCGACATCCGTGAAAATAATCTGATCAGGGTGTACACCTTGGGCAACAGCATCTGGACAGAAGAAACCGATATGGTTAATAAGAGCGCCGATGATAAAAGAATGATAAGAGTTTGAGCCAAGAAGAGACAGAACAAAGGAAATATCTCAAAGCACGAGAATGGAACAACACGTACATGCACGAAGCCTCATCTCTCCGGCTGCAGGGAAGCGGAGAAGCCAAATAGCACTATTGGGCACTCGCTTAAGAATGTTGCACCTGCGCACCATGCAGGGGAGATTAAAAAAAAAAGAATGATCACCATGCAAGTGCACATAATATTTTTCCCCTGAGCATTCACATGTGGGTTGAGATTATGAAAATCCTCCTTTTCAACTTACTTGAGATGTATGTACATGTAGTGTCAGCTTATAATGGCATGGTGATCTTGGTTTTTCATATCATTAAATTTCAAATAAATAATTATCAAACAGATGAAGAAGCTCGGAAACACATTTTACCAAGTATTGATGATCTCAGGATCCATCTTGTACAGCTGGTTGAAGCATGCGAAAATGAATTTGTCTTCGGGAAGACCATAATCTGATCGCTTAGGCTTGGAATTTGGGTCCAATATCTCCTGGTTTTTCTGCATATAATATAACAATACATACATAGCCTTTTAGCATTCAAAACCAACCACAAAACCTTATAATGACATGGCAAACATAACCACCTTTTTGGACTGACCTGTTTGTAGTCGTTTACAAAATAGCAGTGGGGGAGATGGACAAGCTTCTCTGAGTAAATATGTGCATATTGCAGGGGAGACACGAACTGAGTAGGAAACAAGAATCACACATGAAACCATAGACAAAGTCCCTTTTTGTGTTAATGAAATCTCCAGTCCAATTCCTGACCTCATCAGTCACCAAGTAATCAATGTATGTAGCTCCAGTTGTCCCTGGGAAACCCATATACGAAACCTGGATTGGCGCAGGCTGCATGGCGAATATTTCATTCCTAGCCCCCTGCAATTAATTATTCAGAACCATCAGTATATTTCCACGGGGGTAGTTACAGCTCTGCAGAACGAAATAATAGATCTTTTGTAAAGATAGGAGCGTGCCTTGGTGTAACCATTTAGATTGATGAGGATCTGGATTTTATCGTCATTTATTATTTTGGCAATAGTATCAGATGTCATAGCAGAGACGTCCATGAAATGCTCGGCTTCTGACTGGATACGTTGTCTCCACTCGGTACCATCATTTGGACTCAATGCATAGCAGAAAACCTGTAATCCGTATTAGAAACGGAATAGAGATGGAAATACAATCTTGCTACAAGTGCATGCAAGTTTTGGTTTCATACTAATATTGAAAGAACTAAATCCACCATGAGAAACTAATAAGCTCACTAAGATCACTTAGTAGGATCGGAGAATCCAAACTTTCAATCTGTAATTACTAATCAGAGCCAACCTCTCTGAAACTTGGATATGAAAAATGGGCAATTTTACGGAAGGATACAAACCTCAACGTTTCCTCTGTTGTGCATCCCGAACACGGATCCCATAAGGTGTGACAATGGATGATTGCCAAAGTCACTGCTCACATACCCGACCCTTAACCTCTTAAACCCTCCATCACGCTTTACAGGGACTGAAGCTGGATGGTTGAAGGAAGGTAGTCCAAATCGTGAAGCAATTATCGAGCAGTGTGCCGCATATTTATGACTGGACATATTAGAGGATTTATGAGGAACAAGCCTCTATATATGACTTTTTTGTCATGAAGATATAATTCAAGCTCTGAAGATTCTGTTTCTCACCTGATTTCAAGTGCTAGCATAGGATCTATAGGATATGCTATTGCATGGAAGGGCTGGACACTTGGAAGTACTGACATCTGCAAGAGTTGCATAAGATAAGTTGTTTTTCTCTCTATTACCATTCAGAGTGGAGATACTGTGCTGTGCAAAAAACTTACATTTATTTGCTTCCTGATAATAGCTTCAACCTCAGCGAACATTTTATCGCGGTTCTCCCAACTACACACACACTGGCTCAGCGCAGCAGAGGAATCCAAAAAAGGGTTAGTCAACCACAAAAATGCATAAGCGAGTTCGTTAAGCACTCAGATATAGTCTAGGAAGAGCATCTCAGATACAGGCATGAGAACAAGTTAAAATTTTGAAAGCACTTACCATGTATGCCATTTGAAGATTTGTCATAAAAGGAAAAGAACAAAAAGTGAAACTACTGCCACAATAGATGCTTTTAAAGGATACCATGCACGATCAAACATAAGCCATTGGGTGCAATGTTGCAGCTTAGGCACTACCTAGTGCCTTCTTAGGCTTCCCAATTCTCAGTTTAAATTAGTAACAGAGATAACGGGCAGAGATCCCCAATCCTACAACAACAGTCTACAGTGAAATGACAGAAATCAGAGTTGCAATAGAACATAATTTTCGGGACACGGTTTGGCAATATGCAGAGAGCTCGTAACCATATGTATGAATCATATGTAACACATATTGAAAACATTGTTTTAAGCCTTCTGTTCTCATGTATCTACAATCCTATATTATGCTACTTTAGAAGAAAAGAAACCATAAAAAATAAGTGACTTAGGCTCAAGAAGCTATCATGACAAACTTACGATATCAGAGCACAGAGTATACCTGTAATGTGTGTAGAAGGTTACAAGTTGCTTCTGGGAAGTCTGGTCGTATCAGCAAGGCCTGCTTATAACTTGTAATGGCCGCCTCCACGTGTCCACTACATATTTAAGAAGGTCAAAGATGCTACATTACCACAGACATTGTTTCCTACAACAAAACAAAAAGCTTTGAAAAGTTTTCAATGTTCTATTCCAGCAATCAATCTGACCATGTTCAACAAGCATCTGACCTAAGGCATAACTATTGTCCATATATGTACCACGCTTGACCGACATTAAGGCCGCATACCATCAAATGGACACGAATTGAATTCGTGAACAAAGGTAACAAAAAGTGGAGTACCTGTCCTTGTAAGCTGAAGCCAGATTCGCGTGAGCTTCAGCCATTGTTGGCCGAACATTAATAGCATGCATGTAATCTTGTATTGCTTCAGTTACTCTACCAATCTCTTTGTAAGTATTGCCTCTATTAACAAGTGCATCAGCTGCCAACGGATCAATGCGGAGGACCTCATTGTAGCAGGATATAGCATCAGCATAATTTCCCTTTATGGAGGAAAAAGAGAGGATTTGTCAAAAGCTTGCCAGTGTGTAGCGATGATTAAACATTGATCACAAAGTATGCAACCACCTGTTGTTTATAAATTATCGCGAGGTTGTTAAAAGGAGCAGATAATCCTGTAGTAACAGCTAAAGTAGCCTTGAAGTATGAAGAAGCGGGACCCATCATATTCCTGTTCAGAGCATGTGTCATGTAAAAGTTCGAGGCATCTTTTCATGACAGCTATCTAGAGATAGGGAAGGATCACACACCACTCCATATATATATTTCCAAGATTTGCCATTGCTTGTGGATGGTTAGGTTGCAAAGTAAGACATTGCTGCAGTATAAACAGAGGTGATTTGTAAATTCACAAGTAAAAAGCAAATCCCTCTATCAGATGGGAACCGCACTTACGTTATAACATCGTATTGCTTCATCTACTCGTCCGATGTCCTTCAGTGCATTACCCTTCATGTTGAAAATGCAAGAAAAGACAGTGAAAAAAATATAGTTAATAACCAGAAAAGCCCAAAAGTGTCACCAATGCTAACCAAGTTGTTGTAAGCCTCCAGAAATCGTGGATCCCGGGAAATAGCCTGCTTGTAATGGAGGATTGCCAGGTCCAGTTGACCTTGCTCATAATACATACTGGCTAGATTTCCTGCATCAGAAAGCACTTTTCGTCTTCTTTGGGAGGATAACGAGTACATTTGAGTGTCAAAAGGCCAAATGTTTTCTATCTGCTTGAGAATATATATTCCGTGATACTCAAAGGGAAGAAATGATATAATAAGTAGCACTCACCATATGCCATTGCACAATTTGGTCGCAGTTGTAGAGCATTCTGATAACACATGATTGCCTCAGCAGGCCTTCCAAGAGCCTTGTCAAAAAAGAAAATGGAAAATTTAGTTTCATCTCCAGTCCAGCAAACTGATTGCAAACACTTTCAGTTAATGAATCCTAAGCAAAAGAACAAATACAGACATACCTTGTATACATTGCCTAGATTTAAATAAGCATCAGGAAATGCAGGTTTAAGCTTCACGGCTTCCTAAAATTAAGGAATTCAATGAACACAATTAGAAATACAGAATATAATCAGACAAGCTCCTCCAGAAGACTCGTAACAATCTCCAGAAAATGATATAAGAAAATCTTTCCAATACTCTCCGAGCTTTCTACACAATCAAGCATAATATGATCTGCTTGTTCCTGAAGAGTGATTTCTCAAGTAGAATGTAAAAAGAAGAGACTAGTGCGCACACACACAGAACTACAACATTATGCCCAAGGAATTTTGAGGACGAAATGAAGTATACCTTGTAATACTGAAGGGCTCCGTTAAGATTACCCGATTCCATGAAAAGACCCGCAATATTCGACCATGCAATCGCAAATGTTGGTTGTATGCGAACAGCTTCAAGGTAGCAACTGTATGCCTGCACAAAATATTACATTCTGACAATTTGCACTCTGGCAGAAGCAACTTACAATAAGACTGACCATCATCCTTGCCTGCCTGTCAGTAAAAACTTGGTATCTGTATTGACTGTGAATTAACAGTACAACACAGAAGAATGAATGACTCCATCAGTAACTGCAGTTGATAAAACAGTAAATAGACTAAAGATGGACACTAAGCGCATCACATCACCTTTCTTTAGATTCTTTTTTTTTGGGTCAAACAGCAATTCTATGAGAGTGAAGAAACTCCCATCCATCATTAGTTAAATTAGGTTCTAATATCAGAAACTAATGCACATCTTGCAAAGGCTAATTTTTATAGGCCTAGAACAACAAAATGCAATTTAAGTTAAACAGCTTAGCCTCAAAGAACTTACTTCCTTAATCAATCCTTGCGCTTTCATCAGATTCCCCAGGTTACTATGTGCATCAACCTGCGACGAATTCAGATCACATGGTAAGGAGAAAACTAAAGTATGAGTTAGAACAAAACTTTCTCTCCCAGAATCATCGTTAAAAAGGTGAAATAGAAGACCATGAATATATTTTCAATTATTGCTTATCTTTTCAAGCCAATAAAAAGAATTTTAAAATTTTATTAAAATACCAGAAGGGGATTCAAGGTTAGAGCCTGCTGACAGCATTGGGTTGCCTCACTCAATCTTCCTTTCCGCATGTATGCACTAGCCAAATTTGACCAAGCATCAGCGAAGTTAGGCCTAAGCTGAAAATTACATTTACAAAAGAACTATTTAGGTAGAGGAAGAGATAATGAAAGAACAATGGCAACCGTATAAGCTTTAAAACAATGGAATAAAACCAGAACTGATAATTTCAATATAACACAACCTCAATGGCAATCAAATAGTATCGAATTGCTAGATCGGTATCCCCTTTTTCCTGTACAGAAAGAGCAGATAACAGATGTAAGAAGGCCAGAAAAAAACAAATTTGTTTCACATTTCCAGAAAGACCACCTATTAGTTTTTTTTACCAGATTCAGTATGAGATCATAAAGAAGCTCTACCAAGGATTGCAAAGCATTTGGGACTTAGTTTCCTCCTCCTTTTTAGTAACAAAAGGAATCAGAAATACGACTAAACTCAGAGTTATAACTCACCTTCCATGCATTTGCCATGTTTCCATAACACTCAGCAAACTGAGGTTGAACGCGTAGAGCTTCTTCGTTTCTAGCTATGCACATATCATAATCTTGCAACTGGGAAAACAAAAAATAAACCAGTTAACGACTTGTTCACTGAAACAAAGGAGTGATGTGGGGTGGGGGAGTACCTGGTAGTATATAGCACCAAGAAGAAGAAGATTATCGGTGCGTAGAGGACTTCTACGATAAACCATGTTGCTGTGCTCCAGAGCTTGCTTAAAGTCGCCGGCTTTGTACAGTTGATGAGCAAGAGCCAAGCGAGTGTCCTCATCAGCTGCACCAAGAGGCTCAAGACATCAGCAAAACTTAATAGAAACAGAGCATAAGCATTTTTTTTCAAATAACCAAATAATTAAAGTTGCAGAGGCAATTTCTTTCAGAAGCATCCACCTTTTTGCACTCTACAACCCTAGAGAGCTAAAACAAACAAACGACGCCATAAACCCTATGATTGTCATTTTCAGGAGCTGAACCCAAAATTAGAATTTCCACAAATAGAACCAAAATTTTCAATTTGTAGAAAGTATGATTTCACCGTAAATTACGATCTTTAACTCAAACATAAAGCCAAAACTTCGACAACAATAAATCCTTAGAGCCCGAGTCTCAAAAAGAAAAGAAAAACTGAAACCCCAACAAAGCAATCCGAGGTAAAACCCTAAAGCAACAGCCCACAGAAAGATGGATCGGATTATCGCACAGATAAACATAATCATGCTGTGAAGATTCCAATTCCTTGAAGGGGAAAAAGGATCAACAAAAGCTCGCGACAATACAGAACCTTCATGAGAATTATTGAACTGCTGGAGGAGGATCGACGAAGATGAAGACGAAACCGACAGCTCGGGCTTCACGGAGAAGACTTCATCAGCTCGATCCGACACGAAAGCGGATCGAGGGACCATCCCAGCGCCGTTCTTCAACGAGATCATCGCGCCGATCAGAGACCGACAAACGAACACGAACTTCCCTAGAGATCACAACTCCCCGGATCTTGGCCGAAACTTCGCCGGAGAATCGAACAACAAGAACGCACTGAAAGATGAAAAAAAAAGGGCAAAAACCCTACAAACGAATTAAGCCCCTTTGTTTCTTTAGGCTTCTCTCTCTTCTTCTATATTTGCTAATTAACGGTCCTTTGTCGGACATGAATAAAGAAAGGCTTGGTGACGCGACACGTGTAAGGATCTTGACCGTCAAATCGAGGTTTGGTCAAAGTGTCAAAGATTTGGAGAAAGCAGATCTGGCCGGAAAGGAGAAAAAGGGAGGGGAGATTCCGTGGGTGTACCTGACTGACACGTGTGCAAGTCGAGACAGAGGTTTATTCTCGAAGCGCTTTTGTCGATATCATACCCATCACATGTTTGTCCATGCATATCCACAGCCAAATAAGAAAACCATCACGTATTACAAAAATAATAAATTCTATTTTTATACAAAAACATGCCCTTCATAAAATCGAGATATAAATATATAATCACATATGACCTAATATTCTCTATTATAAACAAAACAAACAAATTCAAATATTCTGAAATAATTATCAAAAGAGGAAATTTTGAAAAATAACATGAATAAAAAGAAAAAAAATACAGTATTGAAATAATTAGACCAAATTATTTGGTTTGTCAAATTTCCAAAGAAAATAATGATAAGCAACCTAAAAAACAAAACATATGTATCATAAATTTTGATCGAAATTTATAATGTAATAAATAAAATTTTAAATCAGAATTTAAAGTAAATTTTTAAAAAAGAAGTTACGTAGAGCCATGTGTACTTGCACTGGCAAACAAAATCTAAAGGTCCAATAAAAGCAAATAAATAAAAAGTAAGGACACCTTTGATCACATCAAATCGTGTTGTAGTGTCGGTCAAATGAATGTCGATTTCGTACTTTGTTGTGTGATTACTAATACTAAACCCAAACACCTTTAAGAAAGAAAAAAATTAAAAGCACAAATACAACCAAGTTACTGCGTTTTAAACGCTAAACAAATGGGCGTCTGCATCCAAATCTCTAAAACGTAGCTGTGGCCAAGAATCAAGATTCAGATTCTTGGGAACTTAGAACACAAGATACACACGCACACACACACATATATATATATATATATATGTATATATCAACGTCACAGCTCTAAAGTCCAATGCCACTATGCATAATATTATCAACGGACACAAAAGTTAACACAAAAAATAACACAATGCGTTGTTATTGTTACCAAATGATCCTCGGCAACTGTCTCTGTAGAACACTAACATTAGGTTTAACATTTGATAGCAACTCTACTAGAGAGACACGAACCGGAACTCGCGTTTAAACCTCTAGATGGAAAGGAGAATGCCGAAACCTTAAATGTCGGCTGCCAGGAAGTTTTGAGGCAGAGAGACCTTCATACATTTCAACCAAAAAAGAAAGGTCAGTTGTTAAGGTCTTATCCTCAAAAGCGTGCCTTTTTGGGAGATAAGAAAGGGTGTGTAAATGTTACCTTCTCCCCTAGTTTGAAGGGAGGGAGACCCTTGTAAGGGCATGTGCTGCAACGGAAAGCATCCCCGAGCCCACACTGCATGCATCATTCGATGAGATTTTCAGTCTTATGAGACCAAAAGCGGATAAAAAGATGATGGGTCGATGCAGAGTAATGATTAATGATTATAGTATGCATAATGGGACTTGGTATTCGAGTAGAGAACGAAATGGTAAGTTGAATGTGGAAAGGGGAAAACATAAAGGAAAATCCAACATACGCTGCCACATGCTGATTGAGGATTCTCTATCTGATCTTCAGTGAGCTCCAGCTTCTCTGCTTTCTCCTCCATCTCAGCCCTACCACATGTGCAGTTCTTGCAAGCTTTTCTATTGCTTCCCACTTCGCAGTCACCAACTGCAGAACAAAAAAACCAAAAAAAAAATCCAATAAACCTTTTGTTAAAGGTGATGACTGGCAAGGATCAGAACTGAGGCAACTGGGGTTCCTTGTAGGTTACCGGGAGGGAGTTGGGGTTTCTTCAGGTCATCCTCTGTCAGAAGAGAATCTTCATCTATAAGATCTGAGTCATCATCTAGACTAACCTTCAAGAGATTTTTCACGGGCTTCTTTAGAGCAAATGACGTACCGACCTTCCAAGATGGTTTTTTCGCCTTGATCTGATATGAAGAACATAATTGTTCAGTTAGAGAGATCACAACATCTCTCTCCTTATACTACAGAACCATCATGTTTGAGGTCAGGCCAAGAATTAAGGAAGAACTATAAAGCACATCCAGACTTTTTATCCAAGTACCTCACGGTTGACCACAGTAACACAAATATACAAAAGGGTTTTGTTTTTTTCGAATGAGCAAAAGTTAGCTAAAATCTTGAGAGAGCAGAGAAAGGGTAGAACAGATGGGATACTCACGCCGAAAGATAAGTTGAACTTAGACAAGGAAACTGATTTTAAGTCAAGAGATTGTGGTTCCAGAAAACCAGCCAAAAGCATGCTTCGTTGAAGAGCCTGAAATTAAGATTCCGTGAGATGCCCAGTTTAAAAGAAACAACATTTTATATCTCACCAACTAAGCAACACAAACCTGTTCCGTTTCCCCAACTTGAGCATCCAAGTTCTTGCATACAATAACCGTGCTGCCAGGTTTAAGAATTCTAGAGATCTCACCATACAATTGATCATTAGGAAATGCAGATGATTTTGAGATTGATAAAACAATGTCCACGGATGAAGAATCCAAAGGAAACTGACCTGCAGAAAGATCAATTAACTCAACATTATGAGGCAAGGCAAAAAATATTAGAGCTTATGCAAACAGTCAGGGCTAAACCTTAGAACCAGGTTAAAATCCTTTTGAAACATATACTACAGCTGCCAGATTTGTATCCATGTAGCCTCATGATTCCACTTATCCAACCACTTTACAACAGTTAACACCCCAGAAAATCCAACCAGAATCTCAAGATTTCCACTCTATAATACGATACCCAGATCTATGCTCCTAATATTTGACCAAGAAAGGTGGACAAAGGACAACAGAACTCATATGAATGCATATATCAGCCAAAACCCGGAAAGTAATACTTGAAACGAGAAATGAGAAACCGAGGATTCGGAATATACTTAGAGTGGAAGCTTGAGTGATTATCAGAGGATCACATTGGTCGAGCCCATCATTCCCCAGCTCTTTCAATATGCTTAGAACAGAGCTAACAGGCAATACCAGACAATCTGCGACCGCTAAAACTGAGGTTTGAGTTACCGCCGAATCCTACAAAACAAATGCCGGACAAGAACCAACACACTTTAGCCCATAAGAGATCTGTTGTTCCAAACCTTGCCGGGCAGCAGCAGAGAAAGGAACTGACGCTAGAATAGAATACCGAAAAACCCTATTACAAGAAACACCAAAGCTAACAGCTTGATTTCAAAGGGAAAAAATTTGAAATCAAAGAACTTGGAACCTTAAGATATAACCCAAAAGAACAAAAAAAAAAGATTACAGAAATCAGGTTGTTCACAAACTAAACAAAACTGATCAAAACGAAATTCCGCCTAGATTTTCTGTAGCATCGTAATGGATTAGAACAGGAAACAGAACGTAAATTCGCGCAGTTCAAATTCGATTTCTCATAAACTTAGGGAGCAAAATTCAGAAGCTACAACGAAATGCATGCGAGCCCGAACAGGAACGGAGACAAACGGATCGATCCGGTAGAAATTTCGTAGAAAACGTGAAATTAAACACAGAATAAACGTACCATGTCAAAAATCTCTGCAGAGCCTCTCCGGAACCCCAAAACCCTAAAGATCCTTCCTCGGAAATTTTGCAATATCAACTCCGAAAACGAAGAAAACAAAACCTTCTGAAAGTTCGCGACTGTATAATGATATATATATTTGCGTGTGTGTATATATTTGCGCCGACTCTTCCTTTCATGGGTTCAACCGGGGCGGGAGGCAGGCAATTGGTCAAGCTAGGGATGACGTGGACACACGTTCTTAAAACGACGTCGTTTTTGTACAAATCCGCGTTCAAACAGAAAGGAAGAAAGAAAGAAAGAAAATCCGAGTTCCCACCAAATTACAATAGACAACCCAAGTGACAAAACCTTGCTTAAAAGCAGACATACACATTATAACCCACATGAAAAGAGCTTAAAAAGAAACTAAAGCCGAAGATCGCATGTGTTTATTATTACCATAAACATTTCAGTTGAGTTAAGTTGAGTTCAGGAGACGGTGCCTTTCTGGGGAAGAGTCTCAAAGGCAGAGACGGTGTTGTCGAACCTGACACGGTGCAAGGGAGCACCGCTCTGCTTGATGGCACACGCCGTCTTGTCTTCCAGAGGGCACCTCGCCTTCAGCATCGAGAACACGTGGTTGTTCAGCCTCCTCGCCTTCTTCATCGCCTCCAACAGCGCCTCCCATCCCTTCTTTACACACATCATCATCATCATTCATCATGCTCAAAAACACACATTACATTCCTTGTGAATGAATGAGATGAAATCCTTGTGTATGTTATGCCATTGTTCAGACACATTTTCATGTGATTTCGCCATTTCTTTCCCCGAGGCCGAGATTATATTCTACTACCCTTTTTTTTTTGTTAGAAACAAAAGGAGAATGAGAAAGTGCATATTATTTACCTGGACGAACTGCGCACTTCTATGTGCATGGGAAGCAGATAAGGCTTCAACCTCGGCCACGTTTAGGACTTGGTATGAGAAATCAAATAGCTCAAAGTGCAGTTCCTGTCCAAGCAAATATACGATGGTGCATCCACCCCAGGCTATGGAGTCCCCTAGGACATCGTGATGGGCTGACTGCGGGTTCGTTATCTCCTCCAGGTATCCCTGTCATTCGTACATTCAAATCCAAAAGCGCAACACACAAAAATGGCATTCCGTGGTGAAACAAAAAGAAGGAGAAAAAAACGATATTACACGAAAGATTGTAAGAGCTTTCTCTAGAAAAATAGAAAACAGACTAATGAGTGGAAAAATAATAAGTTAAAGGTTACAATTTGCTTACAATTTGAAGACCTCCATAGATGCGGTAGAAGTCCTTTGAAGTTGTGATGTCAATGAAGCCTGTCTTGGGAGGAGCACTCCATTTACTACAATATTTGTCAAGTGCAGCACTTGTGAATGCAAGTGTATATTCGAGAACGCTTCCACCGTTCATGTTCGCCTTGTACAGAAGATCTGTCAGACAACAACACATTAAACTTCCACAAATCAGTCATCGCAGAGACTAGTAAAAAAAACTTGATTTTGCGAGGTCGCAACCGCTATTTCCTTGGAAAATAATAAAGCATGGAAAGTGAAATCAAGCATAGTTCGGTGATCTACTGCCATAACAAAACTGCAGAGCTTGATCATAATTCAGCAACAGAGAAGGTTTCCGTGTATGATATAATATAATGTCACATGCAATTCCTAACCTGCAGCTTCTGCCTGTTTGGACATGGTGTAGAAAGCGGAAGGGTTAGGGCAACTGGGGTTCGACACAATCGCGGAACTTGCTGATTTGAAGAGGTTGATGAGAGGGCTATCTCCATCTTGAGCATTAACTATTTGTCCATCTGCACCTGGGATTAATCCCAACCATGGAGCAGTTTGCATGAATCGCTTTGTGTCTACCTCTCTCTGTTTAACAAATGACAAATAGAATTGTAAGCTGATAGTTCTTGAAGCATTAAACAAATGCCAAACACCGTTATGAGACCATTATTAAGGCAAATATTTAGCCTTAGTGACGGCCTGAGTTCACAGATAAAAGCTCTGACAGCACTGACCAATACAGTATCAAGAAGTCCCATCAGATATATTACACTCCCGATTTCCTTTATCCCTCTGAGTACTTCTGATTTGAGCTCTGCCTTTGTGCCCCAGTTCAGCTGTTCTCTAATAAGTCTCATACAACCTGTAAATAAACAGCGAAAGATATAATCACACAGGATGAAACACATCAAGATAATCAAACTGAACTGAATAGATTTTGAGATCTGTTTTTAGATAAGCTCAAGATTCAATTATACTTTCAACCGAATTTTCCCACTGAGTCCCACCCATCATAGTCTCTTTATTGGCACCAACTAGAAGATATATCCATGGGAGGTGAGTCTGCCATGTTCTTGGATTCATTATAAATCTCACATGCACTCCAGAGCTCTATTCCAATAGCATATGTAAGAGGAAAAGCTTTTTGGTACCATGTGTCTAAAATCTACAGGTTCAGTAAGGAGCTCAAGCAAAATGAGGAGAAAGACTTCATAGAGAGTATTAAATGTTGCATGAACCTGTGACACCACCATCAAAAGAAAGCAATCCGATAGACTTCGGCAACGCTTCTTGCAACCCGGAAATCATTGGCTCGAGCGTTGTTATCTGAAAGTTTAAACATTAAAGCTCTGTTAGGTTGTGTGCTTCTTTTCTTCAATGAAAGTTCATATGATGCATCCTAAGGAAAACGGTTCATGGTACGAAATTGTGCATACCTTATCTGATATGTGATCCAGCAAAGCTCTTATAAGCCAGGGCAAAGATCTAGAACCGAGTAGTTTAACAACGGCAAATACATGCGGTATCCCGAAAAATCCACTATGCAACCGTGCAAAACTTTGGTGGGCAGCATTCAAGTCCTGCCACAAGAAAAAGGTAATTCATAAGCATATAACCAAAAATAAGGTCAGGCTAATGGTGGCGATTGTGAAGCATTATCACGATGTCAAGTAGCTTCAGGCATCATAAGCAACAGATCAGAAAACTATTTCCATGGTAGTAAATTGTAACAATAAGATCAGAACATTGAAAGTAAATGTCTAAGGACATGCTCCTTACTTGAGTGCCACAATAGAAACTAGGTTTAGCAGAAGGCACTGACGGCTTCTGAGTAGGAGGAACTTTCGATGATCTGACAAATCGTTGTGTGGTATTGCAAAGTATGAAGTTTGGTAGGAAATCACTCTGCATCTCTGACCAAATCTAATAGAAGACAAAATTAGGTTAGGAGACGTTGTTAGGCTTAAAATTTACATTGTCTGCATATGCAATCCTAGGAAAAGATTCACATAGTGCACATTCCAGATATGCAAAATGGATGTGGAACGAGCATATGATTTATCAAACACAATCATTCTTTAGGGCAAAATCTGTTATTGTGCTACTTGGAGCTAATATTAGGCTTTATGTAGCGCAGTGTTATCAAAAGTGGTCTCTGTCTGGTCAAAAGTACAAACCTAAAGGTTAATCAACACAATCTGTACGATGTATTACTGTTACGTAGAAGCAAAACTTCACATGTTGCAAGAGACAAGCCTAATTTTCACTGACTTATAAACGTGTGCATGTATCTGAGTTAGCATATAGAAGGCAAATAGTAACATATATCTAAAGAGCGAAATACAAAATAATTTATGGACCTGGGTGGCAAGTCGACTAGAAAATGACACGAGAGAAATGTTTTCTTGCATTTCATTCAACATGAGACTGAAAGAATCTATGGAGAGTTCTTGAGAAAGCAATTCATGGGCATGCTTTAGGACATCTATCAGCTTCTCCAGTTCCTGCAATAGATGAAAGCATTTGAGTCATATGCTGGAAAAGTAACAAAGAATGCTGACACAAAAAGACTCGAGAAATAAATCTTACCACTATAGCACATAGGTCCTGGGACTCGAACCTGTCAAATAGAAACTCTAGGTTTTCTCTGAAAAGTTTATTCATCCGTTGAGCAATCAAACTTCTTAGATTAATTGTTCTACCAAGCAGCTGCAAGTCATCAAAACCAAAGTGAGAGGATATAAAGAACATCCAAGGTAGCATGAGTTCAAAGAAAGAACAGGAAGCTGATTAAGATTTCATACATTAGAAAGAAACATCCCACACAACAAGCAATGCACAAGATAAAGTGCATCAGATGTTAGATGCTATGCTTCAAACATTATTACTACTATATAATGCCAAGAACAGCCTCTTGCAGAATATTCTGCAAGGTAAGGTTTGTCTACAATACAGCCTTGTGGTGGGACCCTTCCCCGGACCCCTGCTCAATGGATGCTTTGTGCACCGGGTTGCCCTTTATAATATCAAGAACAGCACCGAGAATCATCTAACATGATATCTCTATCAATGTGAACCCAGAAACTCAGAACAGTATCATTCACCTGTACTTTTGTCATCTTAAATAATGCTGTAAACCTCACAGGCTGGATGGAGCACCTTTCAGCATTGTCCAAGGCAAAGAGAAATGATGGATCAAGAAGCTCACTGTTGATTTGACAACAATTAGTGACAAAAAGTTTAGTTCATCGAAGTTTTAACAGAAATGAAATAAATATATCAGAGGCCATCAGATACCTCGCTGCCCAGCTCTTATAATAAGTGAATATAGTCTCTGAGAGTCTTGATACAAATATATCAAAACCATGGTCCACCTACAGACAGAACAAATATATCAAAACAAGTTTTGTTCAATGCAAAGAGATCTGACAGGTAGAAAATTCTAGAAGAAGACCAAGACCTCAAAGAAGGAAAAACGATATCTAAATAGAAAATCATGAGACTCTTATCTGGGAAGACCTGTAGTTGTTGATAGACAGGGAGATCGGAAGTATAATCTGTACCAAGTTATATTTACCTCAGCTTCAATTTCATCATATAGGAATCTCTGCTTCAGCACAACTAGGGCTTGCTGAGCCGAGTCGTTATAAATGTCAAAAGGTAACAAAACGCTCTCAAGAAGGCCTGAATTCTGTGAATCAAGAATGTGATCTATCAACATCCATGGCAACGAGCATTCAATTGGAAACTGCACAAAGAAGATAAAACTATTAGAAACCAAACCAATATATTGTGAATTTTGGCAGAAATCACAACCATGAAGGGTGCCTGAGAGCAAACTTCAGCCAAATGACAAAACGAAGTAGAAAAGTCTATAAGCTAGACTTATTTCTCACTGGACAGTTCATGCCTCTTACCTGAATAACTCGTGATGACTCTAAGTAAAATTCTCTAAACCAAAGGAAACCAAGATCGGTCAACGTCCCAATAGTTGCTGCATCACCATGGATTGGAGTTGTCAATTTATAAAGCCATTTCCATCTACATCACTCCACAAACCAACCAAAACAAATAAACCAAAAAAGTGCACAGGTTACCTGTGTAATCCAATATGTGCAGGAAAAAACTGAGCTTATAAAAGAAAGTCTCCAATTGCTTCAAGTCATTAACATGAATCTCAGAGCCATTATTTCCAAAGAGCCCCCCTGGCCTCCTCAGATTTCCACCAGAGACCACCTCATATATCAAAAACTGCAAGCAATGCACCTGGAAAACAGAACAATACTCGTTCACTCTGAAAAGAGAAGTGAAGCACATACTTCTGTCTCACTGTGCAAAAACTAATATAGGTACTCAAAAGTCAGTTGACTTGAATATAACTTTAGTCTTGTGCAAGCACACTTTTGTCACTACAATCAGCATAAATGGATATCTCAAACACCTATAGAAAGGGAAACAGCTTGTATATCCAACAAAAATAAAATCCTGACCTGAAACTCTCTATTTTCCATTTTAAACAAGCCAGATAGAGACAAACCTGCGACGCAGTTGGGGCAACTGCTCTGGGATAAAAGAAGTTCGATCTGCTGTCATCACCTCCATGTTGTGAAGATTGCAACTCATTTTCGGGCTTGGTATTTGCCATCCAGTCAGCTGATAGTGTACGCATATCAGAAAGAATCCTGAAAGTGATCATAGATGAGAGATACAAGCAAGTGGAACAGTTAATCTTGATCACCCTTAAATATGAATTCTTCATGAGTATTTTAGACTTGTGGAAAATATGACTTGAAATATAAAGAAAAAGGAAATAAACTCACCTTGACAGATCTTTCTTCTTCCGGAAGGTAGTACGCAACATTGTGGCCAATGTATTCTGGACAAAATCTTGGACTTCGGCATGTATTGTCTCCCACAAAGCATCAGCAACTAATGTGTCACATCGCTGCAGCATCAACCCAACACTTTTTATATAGCTCACAAGTTCTACCAAGGCTTTCCTTTCTTCTGCAGAATAATTGAACCTGACCACCTATTGAAAAGAACAAAAGTTTAATCACCATGAAACAAAATAAACAGAAAAAAAAGTAAAAAACTAATATTTTATCCAAACAGAAATTGGTTATCTACTGTGAGAGGCTAAGGAGGCAACGATTGCATACTTCCCAGATAATGTTTAATCTGTTCAAATATAGTAGACGGATTACCTTCTCATAGTCAGAATATGATCCAGAAGTCTCCTGTGATTCTGCCGCATCCTTCCATGGGCGAGAGAATTTCCAAGCACATTGCTCCCAGATGCGTGCTGTCCATCTGCTTAATAGTTGGAAACCCTCAACAACCATGTCATACATGTTTCCTTTGACCTCTCTACACCACTCGGTATCTGCTCCATCATTTGACCTCAACAGCAATAACTGCAAGAAAAGCATGGAAAAAAGTAAAAAAACACAAATTCGAGACTTGAGATGAGAAGAAAACATTCAACATCTTGACAAATGGAGAATGTCATAGCTTTGGGCACCTGATTCATGGATGATGCAAATCGGATTGTGAAGTCATCATGCTCAGCACGAAGAGATCCAATGTGATTGACTATCAGATACTGCCTCTGATATGTAAATTCTGTAAAGGCTAGCAATTTGCAGAGCCAGATTTCACATCAATATGATATAAATAGAGAAGAAAGAGAACAAAAGAAGGTAAAAGGATATTCTAATGCTTCACGGGGAGGGAGCTCATGGGGTGCTGGAAGAGTCAGCAGCCTAGTCTGTGATGAAAATTTTTGGAAGTATACTGACAGTTCTTTCAATATCGCAGCAGGAGATAGATAGAGATCTGGAAATGCAGGAATCACAGGATCGTTCTGAAAACCATAACCAATACAAGTCAGTAGCATGTTGAATAAATCCAACAATACTTAAAAAAGCTCTATATAAAAACCTTAATACCTTGAATATGTTGATCAATCTGATGAGTTTAACCCTCTTGTATAGAGCCTCTGTATCTTTCTCAGATGTTGTTGCTAAGACAACAAGAACAGGGAGGACACGGAGAAGAATGTGCCTCTCAGGAAATAGAAGTGCAAAATCCAACTCCAGTGACTCAACAATGAAGACTATGAGAACTTGGAGAATGTCCTCCACGCTAGCTTAAGTTGAGGAACCAAAGGCACTTTGTAAAATAAGAGCAATTAAACATGGATAAGAAGAAGAAGAAGAAGAAGGCTGTATCCCAAGGAATTTTAGCAGCATGCATCAATACACATAAATAAAGAAACTCGCACTTCTGCACTGTAAGAACTATATAATGATGATGATAAATGCATAGAGGAAAGGATACTTATTCACACGGAACATCTCAACATGCAAGTTGAGTAAAATAGCCCATCTTGTGCTCAGGAAAATCTGTAGAAATAAAAACTTTATCATTGATGACAAAAAAAAAAAAGTGGAAAAAAAGAAATGTATTCTCCCAAAAGAGGGTGAATAGAAAAACAAGTCATGCAAGCACCTGTAAGTCATCTAACTCCTCTCTCATTGTATCAGTGTCCTGCCACTGGGCACTGACTTGAGTGAATGTTCTGAAAGGGTGAAAATGGATTAGAGAAAGAAGAGACATCTTAGTTTCTCTAGAAATTTTTCAATTTTTAAAGAAAGCAAGTAACATAAATAAAGTAGTGAACAATCATAGAGCATAATTCATACCTCTTATACCAAGAGAAATCATTAGGAATGCTAGCTTTAGCATTTTTTAGATGATCAAGCTGAACCAAGACATCAAGCAACTTAAGCATCGACCTATATTATCCAAAACCATAGTTAAAGCATATATGCAAAGACAAGTTTCACTTTAGATTGAGGATGTATTTACTTAAAAAGAAAAAAAAAACATAACCCACCAAAGATGTGTGACTGTAGGGCCATTTATCCGCCGTTCAGGCCTGGAAAAGCGCTGCATATCAGCAGCTAACTGCACCGAAATTTAAGTTTATAGGCATATTTTTTCGTTACAGACAAAAACACAAGAAAGACAAAGAGAAAGGGAAGGAAATACGCCGCACTTTGGCTGAAGCAGATGATTGCCATCGCTGAATTTCACGCAAACGACTCATTTCTAAATCCAAGACTTGATATGTTTCTAGATACAAATCAGCCTGACTATGCTTCATAGATTCAGGAAGCTGCATATATTAAGCATTGACAAAAATTGAATGAGAAAAAACGAGGAAACCAAATACTACCAAGTAATATAATGGAATCACATTTCAGAAGTTGCTAGTTTAGAATATTATTGATACAGATGTGCTCTTTCACCTTGCTTCTCTTTTAGCCCTCATTTTTTTACTTCGACAAAAGTAATACAATATAGTTACTCGTAGCTTCAGTTTGTATGCAAATCACAATCCATGATGGAAAAGAATCGTACATATTATATACCTCAAACAGCAGATAATGCTACTTTTTAGGGGATAAAAACATTTGAATTTTGAAGACTGTTAGTTGTCAGGAAGAACGATAGACAGTAAAAGCTGAACCAGAGATAACCTGAGGCAGCGCTTTGACACAACTTCTATACGAGTATAGAATTGATGCCATCTCCTTTCCTTCTTGTATAAGCGTGTTCTGCCACAATACGCAAACAAATGATTTAGGAATATACGTTACCCCATGCAAGCAGTTCAACACCAAGAATGGCAAACAACATTATAGCTTTTGATGGAGCAAAAAGAAGAAGAGGCATATACCAGCTGATTCAGAGCTTTTGTATCTTCTGATAAAGACAACCGATACGCTGCAACATCACTATACTCTACAAAAAGAAAATGTTACTTCAATTATTTGTGTGTATCATGCTGGCTACCAATACAAGAAACAAACAACAAGCAAAATATGGAAAAGATGTCCCAAGCCGGAAACTTTTTATCTTCATCAATCATCTAAATCAAAATGAGGTCAAGACTACTGTTGATAAAATGGTAGGGATCAGTATAGCAGATTAACAAATTCCTTACATAAGACATATCAATCTAACTACTTTAAACAAACAGAACAAGGAATCTGTACCCAATTAGAACTTTTTTCATCACAAGGCTATACTCACATGATGAACATAACTCACAATGTACTTGGTCAAATTCTTGTTTCAGTACTCCATTAAAAGGGGCAACAATGTAATCCCCAACCCGCCTACTTTTAACTCTCCCGTTAACTATCTTCATTAACCAAAGACAGAAAGAAACGGGAAAGAAAGAAGCATACCTATGGGACTCTCGGTTGCAGCTCTTTCAGCTGACACCATGACAGCAGGTCCTTGGACTTCTGGCTGCTCATCCTACATCATTTCCAATAAAATTAAGGAAAACGAAAAGTAAGTTTATCGAACAATAGTTACTCACAATAATTCAAGGAAATACAGAAATTCCAGAAAGTGCATGCGAAAAGGGTCCATGTTCTCTCCGTCTAACACTCAAATCTGAACTCAATAACTATCAAAATGATCAAATAACTACCAATACATGAAACATCAAACAAGATTTGGGAAAACAAATCAAGAAATTGAAGTGCCAAAGAAAGAAATTCCAGAAGACTGTAAAGTTCAAGCGGATCCAAGAACACTACAATTCCCACTTCTTTGTAGATAGATAGCGGAATTCAACTTCCAGGACAATATAGCGAGCAAAAAATACGAAAAACTGTTCGAACAAGTCGAAATTTTCGAAAAGAAAGTAAAGAAATTCAAAATCGTTGTGACCTCTAGGGAGAATGTGGAAAGAGCTGCGATCGCTTCCTCAACGGGAACCGCCATTTTCGTCGTCGCTTAACCTAGAAAGATCGGAA